TATATATTACATTGATTTAAATAATAAAATATTAAATTAAATAATTATTTTATAATAAATTTATTTAAAATTATTAATATTTTATTTATTCGGACGCTGGTTCGGAATTTATAACAATGCTCTCTTAAAAATCATCCCAAAACTAATTTTCAACGAATTGACAGTACTTTAACTTTTACACATGCATTAAATTTTAATAAAAATAATACGTAAAAATCAAACATATTATTTAATATTTATTAAAAATACGTTTCTTTCTAAAAGAATAAAATAAAAATAAAAATAAAGCTCACCACTCACTATCCCTCTCTCAGACACAAAATCACCAACAAATTTGGAATATAAAAAAAAAATTGCTAAAAAAAAAATGGCCGATGATTCCTTTTTCATTTTTGAAGCGCCTTATATTATATTATATATATATCTCTCTCTCTGCGGCTACTCACAATATTCGCGCTACACAAACCGAGGCATGCAATAATTTATTTCGTTGCGATACCACACAATCTCCGATTCCGCCGGCGATGGCCGTCCTCTCCGATCGCCGCCGCGAGACGCACCGGCGCTCCGCCGGAAAAAACGCCGTCCGGCACCGCGTCGCGAGGCAAGAATCTTTGCGCAGAGGTATTGGCCACGTCGCCTCCGAAACCTACCTCATTACTCGCCTCGCCTTCACGCTTCTTCGCTATCTCGGGTAAATGCGCGCTTCAAACGTTGTTTATTCATTCATTCGTTCGTTCGTTGCTCTTTGATTCATCATTTACATGTATATATAAATCTATTATTTTGTTATTTTAATTTCCATGCCAGCTACGGTATTTTTTTTATTTTTATTTTTATTTTTATGACAAATTGGTAGTTGAATTAACGAAGATGTTTAATTTAGTTCCTAAACTTATTGAAACACATTTTAGTACGATTATATAAGTTTTTATTAAAATTAAAATGCATTTTAATTTTAGTCTCTTAGTCCACGCAAAGGACCGAAACTTGTAGAGATAAGATTCTAACACGGAACCAGAAGTCATAATTATGATGGTTAGTAAGAAAACAATGTTGGTGTTTAATTAGTATCGAACGTTATACGAAGTTGTTTCAACTTAATTAATAATCTTGAATTGGAGTTCTGAAAATGCAGGAATGTTAGACTCTTTAAGTTTTTTTTTTCGTTTTTTTTTTTTCTTGTCGTTCACAATAGTCTTTCTCAACTCGATTTGGTTTGTTTTATGTAGAAGATACGTGTTTTCTCGTATGAACAAAAATACTAGTGTCTAATTTTGTAATTTTAGAGACGAGAATGTTGTTTAGTGACATTAAGATAAATTGAAGAATTAAAATGATAATTTTATCAAGTAAATTAACTAATTCTGGAATTAATTATCTTTTGTGGCAAATAACATCGCTCTTCTCAACTTGCTTGATTTGTTTACGTTGTATTGTGCCACGAATTTACCAAAAATTACGTTGAGGTTGAAGAGTGTACTTTCCTTTCGAGATAGTTATTGTCATGAATGCGTGCGTGCATGGTTTGTGTTGGGACTATTCATTTGAAAATTGCTGTTGTTTGTTTATTCAAGACTCTATCTAGATTTGTAATATAAAAAAATATTCTTTTAGAATTTAAGCAATCCCAAGTAGATTTAGTTGAATCGGGTTTTGGTGAACATTTTAATCAGTGCTTATACTAGAATGATATTTTAATACTTTATCCTAATTAATTAGTCTAAAATAATTATAAAACCAGTTGCCTAAGCTGTTATAACATATAAGTTTTCTCCGCTTGGTTTGAAAAAATGTTTTCTGTTTTCATTTTTTATTTTTATTTTTTTTCCTTTTTTTTGAAATTTATAAAAAAAAAAAATTAAAAACAAGAAACAATAAAAGTTGTTTTTGCTATTTTGAATAAATTTTGAAAATAGGAAATAAAGTGAAAAAAAAAAAAAAGAATTTTTCAAATCACACTGCCCCTAAGCTTCAGTTTCTAAAATAATGAAAAAATAACTAGTAGAGGTTTCTGAAAATGCGTTATAAGTGCTTATACTACTTGACAAGCTCATATATAATTGCTTAGTTCTCAACCTAGAAGTCTTGTCTTAATAATACAAAAAGTTGACAAAACCAAGTACTTGTATACACTGTGTACCCTTACCTGAACTGCATTCTTTGTAACTATTAGGCCAAATAATCTAAATATAAGCTCATCTGTATGTACTGGTATGAGTGCTTGGTTCAGTTTATTTTAGATAAATAATTGTTTATTTTTTCTAGTTTTTGTAAAAGACCTATAGAAAAATGATTACTTTCCAAAAGTAATCCATTCTCAAACACCCACTAATGTGCTTTGTGCCTTGTGGCATGTCTGATTTTTTATTGATGCACTGTTCAGGATTGGTTACCGTTGGATTACACAATTACTTGCCCTTGGATGTTATGCATTGCTACTAACCCCCGGATTTTTACAAGGTTTGTTCAATATAATTGTGCATTTTTCCTTTCTTAATGTCTAGTAATGGTAAATGTTAAGGTTTGTAAATTATATTTTGGAATTTTCAGATTCATGTATATAGCTCATCATATATTTTTTTTATGCATTCTGTTTACTTAATGGTCAATGACAATCTGATTGTCATCCTGATACTTGGTTCTTCTATATTACATGCTGCTGTGTCTCCTTCAACTTGGGAAGGTGTGGAAATCTTCGCACACATATTTTACCAAGCAGCATTTATAGAAAATGGATATTTCGATTGTTTTCTCTCTCTTACGGTTGACTTTCTGCAGTTGCATATTACTATTTCCTCTCAAACAAGGTAAAGCGAAGCATTGTTTACGGGGAACAGCCTAGAAACAGGTAATTGTGGTTTTGCAGGTTGGTCATTTCATGTAATGTATGCGTACTAATCTTATAAATTGTGGTTTTGCAGGTTGGATCTGTATCTACCTGCCGATGTTAGTGAACCTAAGCCAGTTTTGATATTTGTAACTGGGGGAGCATGGATTATTGGGTGAGTGGTTTGAAATATCTCCGTGGTTTTGCTTGAAATCATGTGTTAATTTACTCTGTATATACAGTATTGATTTTTATTTAGCACGTACAATAGTAATTCCTTTTTCATATGAAACCTTTCTATCTCTGCAATAGCACTCTGCAGATGAATTGATAACAATGAACAATGCCTGAACTGACCATGTGTTACTATTTCAAATTTGGAAAATAACCTTTTTCCAAGTGGCAAGTAGTTTTGTCTGTGTATTGTTGCTACAATGAAAGAGTTTCGCAGGTGAGGTGTATGAAATTGGATTTTAAAAATGCTGGCTGACTTGTAGGATTTGGCTGGTGTAATGTAACAGTCAATCTAAATTCTTCTCATTTTCTGTTGTCAAAAAAAAAAATTGGTCTCCAGCACCAAGAGACATAGCCTACAATTTAGTTGTGTGTGTGTGTGTGTACACCTGAATTCATCAATCTTTTATCTTTTAAATTGAAATGATTTCAATTGTATTTTGATTTAGGTATAAAGCATGGGGCTCCCTTTTAGGGCTACAGTTGGCAGAAAGAGGCATTATAGTGGCATGCATTGATTACAGGTACCTGATCTCAGTTCAAGCAGTGCAAGATTGAGTCTACAATTTACCTTTGGTCTGACTTGCTCTATGTATGAGGTATTCTGAAGGACAAATTGGGTGTTCTTTATAGTCTATTTCTAGGACGTTGAGTCAGGGAAATTCATAATCATAACTACAAGGATGCTTGCATCACATCATGTCCTAAACTTAATGGTGTTCAGTGGTGCATATCTTAATTTATTTATTTTTTTAAAATGTTAAAAATATAGTACATCACACTAGGTATAAGCATTTCAATAATTGATATCTTAATCTTAAAGTTGTTCCAAATGTAATTGAGCTTTCTTTTATGCAATATTATAACTTCAAGGGTAGAAACAAACATATTTGTTACATTTTATTTTCAAAATTAATGTTATGTTTAGCTTTTAACAGATCTTCATTTATTTTTAATTGTAGAAATTTTCCTCAAGGGACCATCAGTGACATGGTAAATGATACTTCTCAGGGAATTTCCTTCGTCATCAGCAACATAGCTAATTATGGAGGTGACCCCAATAGGTGGCGTGCTACTATGATACAAGATTCCTTTTCATCATATATTTAGACATTCAACTATGAGATTGATGTTTTCCTTTTTTTGTTAATAACTATCTAATAGGATTTATCTAATGGGGCAATCTGCTGGTGCTCATATATCTTCTTGTGCTTTACTGGAGCAAGCAACCAGAGAATCGGGAAAAGTAGACAGTGTTTCTTGGAGCATTTCCCAGATAAAGGCTTATTTTGGTTTATCTGGAGGGTAAGACATTGTGGCTAGAGTTTCATGGGCATGTCTTGAATTGCGTGGAAATGGTCAATTTCAATAATAGAACGCTGTTCATTCTAGATTGTCTAAAACATATTGATGCAGTTCTTTCGCTGAATTGTATCATTTACTTTAGATGTTATTTGTGATACATAGGTGCCTCTTAAGCTAAACGGAACATTTAGCTGAACCATATTGCTTTATGGTGCTGAATGTTGGGCAATAAATGGCTAACAAGAGCATTAGATGTGTTGCGTTACTTGCGTAGATGAAAATTATGCATTGGATTAGAGGTCACACTTGAAAAGATAGATGAGAAATGAATGTATTAGTGAGAAATTAAGAGTTGTTTTTATTCAGGAAAAATGGTAGAATCTTGCCTAGAATAGTCTTTACCCAAGAAACGAAGACCAATAGAAGCCCAATTAGAAGAGTTTATCAAACTGAGGATAGCAAAATAAAAGGTAGACTAGACTAAGAAAAACTCACGAGTGAAAACCATTGAAAAGGATTTAGAAATAAATGAACTGTTTGAAGGATTAGCTTTTAACAAAACACAATGGCATTATTTGATCCATGAGTCAACTTCAATTAGTAGGAAAAAGCCTTTGTTGACATTCCTTTTCCTCTTTGGAAAGAAGCTTCATATCCTAAAAATATATTCAGAATCCCTTGATGAGAAACAGTGGTGCTGACTTTTGGGGGTTGAATATAACTAGCACGCCTTATGTTTTGTGATAACTGGTGTCATTCTCCAATTTCCTGTTAAATTACATGATAATGGAATAGTTATAGAATCTCTACCATTTATCTAGATTTGCTAGAGTGGGCTTTTGATTTACCATCCAAATATCTTTTAGCAGACAGTTGTCCACTTGTCCTCAATTTTTGTGCTAAAGAAGAAATCTTGAAGGAAATGATCATTGTGAACCATACCTTTAAAAAATATGCTTCATATCCTAATTGATGGAAGTAGCATGTTATACATTGCAATATCTTATATAATTTCTAGGCTTTCAAGCTTCACTAAGTGATAATACTGTAAACAAAGTTTGAGATACAAAAAACACAAATTTCACATTTTGCAAAGGATCTTGAAATTTAATGTCAGTAAGGCCTTTTGGTAAGTGATTGTATTTAAGGTAAACGTAGGCCATTTCACAAATGTGTTGATCTTATGGTCTATAATAATGACGGTGAAGTTCATCAGGCCTAGTCTTGACTGCACCCATTTATTGCAGAGGCTGCAAAATATTATTCGATATGCTTATAGCGACGGGAAATTGGCAGTCTCTTGGGTACTGTTTGATGTCTTGTATAATTCCATAATAAGTTTTTAATTGTATTTTTTCTTTTTCCAAGGCAAAGAGATTAAAATTGAAAGAGAGGGTGATAGAAAGGTTTCAGGCTTTTTTTTGTGAAGATATCACTTATGACGGATTCTGAATTATGCTCCATGATCAATTGGTTTAGACTTGTTGAGGATAATCTATTAACCCCTTTCGTCATGTGTCTTCAGATACAACTTATTGGATTTAGTGGATCACTTCCACAATCGTGGCTTGTATCGTTCGATTTTTCTAAGGTGTGTCCTGACTAAGTTTCATTACAACTATAAGGCTATTGTTTTTCCTCCATTATAACTTTGATTATCATTGCAGCATAATGGAAGGTGAACAATCTTTGAAGAAATTTTCTCCTGAAATTAAAATTCAAGATCCATGCCTCAAATGTTCCATTCCTGACTTTCCCCCCGTATATCTGTTCCATGGAACTGCTGATTATTCCATACCATCAGTTGCCAGGTTAGTGTATAGACTTGAAATTCATTGGTTATATTATTTTACTTCATCGAAGGAAACTACTTAAGGTTTCAATTATATACTTATAAGCTGTATTTTCATACTAATATTGATGGGGTTATTTTATGGTATTTGTCTGAAGAGATATTTTATGAAAGTTATTTTTATAAGATTATTTTATACACAACTTCATAATGATGAAATATTGTCTGCTTTAGGTCAGCCCTCACAGTTTTGTGATATTTGTCTGAGGGGATATAAGATTATTTCACACACAACTCCACAATGATGAGATATTATTCGTTTTGGACCTAAAGTCTCAGTTTTATTTTTGGTCATCACCCAAAAGACCTCTCAATTATTGGAGTTTGTGTGTGTTTTATAAGTTGTTATTTTTTTTCTTATTTTATCGATGCGAGACTTGTTTGTATCCCAACAAATATGCTATAAATAAAACCCGATGACTGTTATGATGTAAAGATACAAGAGAGTTTTTGGTTGACTGTCATCTGCCTAACTCAACCCTCTTTAATCTAGACTTGGGAATTGGGACTATGTAAAGATTGGAAACAAAGCACAACACAGGCAGAGTATGGTGATCAGAAATTGTCATAAAATTAATTAACTTTTATGACTTTGTGGGTCTTCCTTTCTTTTCTTTCTTGTGTTATTTGTATGGATTAAACACAACGATGGAATGCTATACTTTAATCTTATAAATGAAAAATCCACAGTGATAATTGTTTTCCCTAGACTTAAAAATATTTATGTCAAGAAGTCAGTGGCATTTGTTACACTTTTTGATATTAATAAGTGGTTTTTGCAGTGAACAGTTTGGTGATGCTCTTAAGAGGGCAGGTGCTAAAGCTGAGGTGATTCTGTATGAGGGTAAAACTCATACAGATTTGTTTCTCCAAGTAAGTAAAAGTGATGCAATTTCAAATTTTTGTACACTTAATAACATAGATCCAAATACTTAAAATTCTACAATTTTTTGAATTTGGCCTTTCAATTATCCCTGTAAGTAAAGCTTGATAAAATCACTTTCGGGGCTTTGCCTTTGGAGCATTTCTATTATTAATAAGTCAAGAAAATAGACTTAACCTGTATTGATTAGTGTGTCCTTTTTTTTTCTTCTTGTTTTTTTTTGCTTTTGCATGTATTATCTTTCTTGGAATTTGTCTTTCTTCTCCTTAATGTAGGTTTTATTTTCTATTAGAATAAAAGAAGAAAAGTCAATGGACTGCCCAAGGGGGCATACCATATAGTATTGGTCAATTTTGTAATTGGTTCTACACAAGTCAGTCATACACTATATCCGTACCCATTATGTTGTTTGTACTCGACTAATTCAACCAAATTACCATATCATAACTACTAAATCATTGAAGTTATTTATTCTACAAATAATGTTAATACCATCGTTCTTGACAATGATTATGACTTCCCTAATAGATGCACCTGAAGAAGATGAACATTGTAGTACAAATGTATGATAGTTGAGTAAAATATAGCCACATGAGCATATCTTATTTGATTGCATTGTATCTTAGATTACCCATCTAGAACATCCTCGATTGATCGTTTAAGGGATTCATGAAGGATCATAGTGGCAGGGCTTCAACTGGAAAATACTTGGACTATATTATGACTTCTTTCCTTTTTCCTTTTCAAATTTTCAATATTTCTTGTCAGAATTCAACTATGTGCTATTATTTTGTTTTACCTAATGAACTTGTAATTCTCAACCATGCTGTGCAGGATCCACTCCGAGGTGGAAAAGATGACCTATTCGACCATGTAGTTGCCATTGTACATTCCAATGATAGTGATGCTCTTGCAAAGGATGCCACTGCACCCCCAAGAAGACGGTTTGTTCCTGAGATTTTATTAAAGTTGGCTAGAAAGATCAGTCCCTTCTAAGCTTGTAACTGCCAGGGTTCTTGTCGTCTATAAGCTTGTAACTGATAGTATTAACGAACTTCCCTCTGGCTTTGGTACGTGTATATACTATATACACCTCAAACTCTTCATTCATTGAGTCACCATATTTCTTCGGTGCAATAGGTTGAGGTTCCTTATAAATTTTGATCCTTCAAAAATGAAAGAAGTTATATATTAATTTATGTTATAGTTTTTCTTTGAATATGGCGTGTTCTTTTTTTCTTTTTTAATACTGAGAAACCTAAATATTTCTGTTTATTTTTCAGTTTCTTTTTTACCATGTTCATAATTTTCTTTGACATGAATTCTATTCTTAATAGATCATAAAACAAATGAAATATATCAATATTAAGCCTATTGTGCGCATTTGTATGCTAATTACAGAGATAATTTAGCAATGACAGACATCACGACAATTTACTGAAGATTTTAAATGTGTTTTAAAGGATGAGTTAAAAGTATATAATGGTATTGAAATTTAAATTCATCATCTTACATTTTTTTTTTGACATTTTATAATCTTACATAAACCTTTGAGAATCCTCAAAAATTGTATGTAATAAAATGTACATTAAGAAGAAATTGATAAAATACCTGCAAGCTTAGCACCTAATTCTCTGAATTTAAGTGACCGAGTAGCATGGATTCAAACAGCTGATGATGTTTTTACATGCAAATCAGTTTACTGTTCTCTGTGTAATGTGCCAATGAACTTAATCTCCCTTATTTTTAAAGAAGTTCGATATTGGAGAGGGCCTAAGCGTATCAAATCTTTCTTATGGAGAGTTTGTCATGAAGGATTGCATGCTAATTCAAAAAGGGTGAGGTTGGGCTTAGCTTCGGTGGTTACGTGCCCTCTTTGTTTAAATCAAAAGGATTTACTTTTCATTTGTTTCAAGACTGCATTCATGTAGCTCCTGTGTGGAATTATTATATGCAGAACTTGGTGGACAATTCCTTTTATTCAATTATGGCTTGCTCAATCTGTAACTCAAAGTGCAATACAGCAACTGGAGCGTGACTTTTGGAGTTATCCTTGATAATATTTGGTGGTGCAGAAATGACTTCATTTATAATAATAAAATGTGGCTTTTAGGTGATATGGTTGAGAGAATTAATAAGAATGTCTTTGCTATTTTTGCGGCTAGTCAATGTCAGAGTAGAATTAAAACAAATATTTTTCACGTCGAGAGATCTTATTGCATTGCAACTATCTGACCAAGGAAAGATAGCTATTAATACAGTTGGTGCAGTGTCCCTTAATGGGATTGCCTCTTACGGGGGAGTGGTCTGAAGTGACTAGACAGAATTTCTCTAAGCTTTTGCTAAAAATAATGGTGCTTATACAGTTATTTTAGCTAAATTAAGGGGCACTTATTTTGGTCTCAAACTTGGGTGGCATAGGAGTTTCTGTAGACCCAGAATATACTTAGATCCTATGAATGCTATAAATATGCTGACTAAAGATTGCTGCTTAACTCATCCTTGTTATCAACTAGTGAGCAACATTCATGGAATTCATCATCATGAAGGAGCAATATCTTGGGTTCATGTAATTAGGAAAGCAAATCAAGTTGCTAATTTATTGGCCAAATGTGGTTCTGCAATCCATTCATCTATTCACATTTTTTATATTGTTCCAAATTTCAGTGTAAATGTTCTAAAGAGCAGCCCTTGCTGGTATTGCTTTTCCTAGAGACTTCTGAATCTCTACTTTTTTTATAAAAAAAAATTTCATAAATGAAAATACAGAACAGAGACACGTTATTTTCAAACAGAAATGTTTAACAAAAAAGAAAACAAGAAACTTCCCAAGCCTTTTCAGTCTTAAATCATTTTTTTTTTCTTCTTAATGTTCAAAATCGGTAGTGTAAAATATTTCTTTTTAAAATAATTGATTTTCCCTTGGTTACATAATACATAGTAGGTTTTATAAATAATTGGTTAGTGGCACCAAATCATTCATAAACAACAATTTTACTGTAAGTGCTCCTTTTTTGCAGACTCTCCTTCCCCTTCCTCAAGTCATGTTACTTCTGAAGGACTTCTCATGTAGCCTCTCCAACGAATCTATTCAGTACTTGAAGTATCCACTATAAGGGTCTTTGCTTTGGCCTTGGTTGATGAATCCATCCCTTCAATGTCAAGCATGTTAGTCTCTCCTTCAGTGCTGCTTTCACTGGAAGATGTATCACTTAATGTGTGAAGCACTGTCATGTTCTTTTGCTTTGCATCCTGAAATGAGAAGCTTTTTGTTTTTCCCATATGCACAGGAAGCATAGACTTTGGTTGTGAGTCAGTCCTGTCCCTTCCCAAACTATAGGTGGTTGAGAGCTTCCTCTCTATGCATTCCCTTTCTCTTACTATATCACCCAACTTTTCAAAAACTTCATTGTCCTCTGCAGCTTTTTTCTCAAGCTCTGTGATTGTCCTATCCAAAGCTTTCTTTTTGAGCCGAAGAGAGCACTAAAAGATCCAAATGGTAAAAATAAGTGAATTATGATTGAAGGAACATTCTAACTTGGTGAAGTAATATAAGAAGAAAGGAGGGAAAGAACAAACAACACAATTTTGGACTAACTCTCTTGCCAAGGAAGCTTCCAAGGCCTTGATCTTTAAGCTTCTCTTTTGCCCAGAATGTACAGCAGAATCTTAAAAGTCCGATCAGTACCAACAAGAGAGCAGACTCAAAGAGCAGAAACAATACTATCGCCCTTTCGTTGCCTGCACAGAACTTAAAACTATACTCAGTTGTTAAAATGTTGCCATATTCCCTTAATTTACAAAGCTGTACATTACCTGTGTAGATGCTTACAAGCTTGGTTCTCTCTTGAGAGCAGCTAGATGCAAGCTTCTGACCTATAAAGTGATGAGAGAGAGTAAAAGTTGTACTTTGATATAGACTCAACTAAAAACAAGAAACTGTAGTTTTGCATGTTTAAAAATTGTTGCGTTATCTTTTTCCATTATGTCTTGGTTTCCATCTATATTAGAAATACTCCTTTTTAACAGTATATCAACATTTGAGAGTCCATATCTCATCTCTTTAAAATTCCCCAAGGGGCAGTCAATTCTCTGTTAGTTTTTCACTCTCCAGTTTTAAGCCAAATTATAGGAATAGGAAGCACCAATGTTGAGAAGACAACAACAACATTCAGCTTTTTCAAGCTGTTTTGATTTTAATAGGACAAAGAAAAGAGCCATTGACTTTTGGTGTGCAAATCAATACTAATATTTGCACTCCAACATTGATTTTAGAAAAGCAGATGTCTGGCATTCAAATGTTATCAGCTAAAGAATACTTACACATAGGAAAACAATTGCCTAACATCCTTGCCCGGTTGGCACATATCAAGAAATAATACCTTAAAATGTATACAAGCACGAAGGATTTTTCATCAATAATAGATGGAATTTAAATGATTTGATAATGTGATGTAACTGTCGTATGGCATATTCGCATGCATAGTATTGGTTAAAAAATACTGGTTATTTATCTAAATTCAGGTGAAGAAAAGATCTGTACCTATAGTGCGGCATTGCAGCGGGGTGCCAATCTCTGCTTTGAATATCAGGACCAACCCATTAGTTCATTCAAACAAACTACTTCATATCAAAAATATAATTCCCAAAAGTAAATATTCCAGAGCTTTTTTAGCTATTAAATTTGCACTTCCTTAAATGAGCAATCAACATTCTGCAAAAGGCCACTGGTAAGTGTCCAATTTCTGATCTGTTGATTGAATAGGAGCAACCTTAACTGAGGGGAAAAGTTGTTGAGTATCCTTATTCAATATTATCAAAAGAAAAAAAAAATGATTAGTTAAGAGAGTGCACTCTTACTTGAGGCAGCAAGGAAAGCAAGAAGAATCTCCTCATTCATGACATAATGACTTAGATCACTCTCAGAAAATAAAGTAGAATGTTTACCTGATTGAATCGACCATGCAGAAAAATAGTTAGCTTGCTGCTATGGAAACATCATTTCCAATGCTAAGTGACATGAGGAAATGACTGAGAAATATGTACCAGGATAGCTTTCAGACCAATAGATTGACCCAGTTGCAGGAACCATCATAGTGAATAATGCTGCTTTTGATCGAATTGCTGAAACAACAGTGTATTCACCAATTGCGTGGCTAACTTTTCCTTCCATCTCTATCTGTGAAATGTAGATGGCAAAACCAGAGCAATCAAGAAAAGGACCAACTTGAACCATAGAGTTCTCTGCATTCATTCTTGAGAATTTCTTAAGAACCCCAGTTGGTGAAAATGAGTATAGGAACCCATCCAATGAACCAATAGATATCCATCCTGTTACATCAAATGTGCTCGAGTAAAGTAAGTTCATACACCTCAAACCATACCATTGGTTGTAAAATTATTTCGGATTAATGCAGAAGTCTAAAATTGATAGAGACATTAAAATACTTCGTGCAAGTATGGCCGCATGAGGCAATACGATTGTTTTTCTATTAGGCATAAGTTGTCCAATAGACCAGAAAGCACTTGAAAGAAAAATTAGAAAAGACTCCTACATCAACATAGAATGAAATTCTAATTTAAACATAATTTATGTATGTAATGGAGATAAAGGTAGATCTTCATACAGTTCCGCAGCACACAGTGGTTCACAAAAAGGAATTTGTGTAAAAAGAGAGTGAGATCAAGGAAACTAAAGGTTTTCTGAGAAGAAAATGTAGAAGAAGAAAGTGTATCATAAGTAATTTATTTGCTGCAAGTAAAGAAAATTTAATGAATTTAGTATAGCATTGATCATGCATGTACTACTACTAATTGAGACACCCCATATAGAGCTTGTCATAATTCATAGTGAAATTATATTTTCTAATGAGAGGCTTAAAACTAATTTAGCAGCGAAGGACTTACCATTAGAGTCCACTACAGGTGCAGAGTCAAATTTGCTTAATGGCCCAATACTTCTCTGCCACAAGACATTACCTGAAAAGACATCTAGAGCCAATACAAGAGCCTTAGCTGGAACTGTTACATAAAGATGACCATTGTTTCCGGCAGTGATGGTGAAATTCTTGTCAAATGAACTAAAATCCTGTATCCATCTAAAGTAACGGCTACGAACAGACAAACAATAGAGTTCACCTTCAGTGTTTGAGATCTGCAAGTGCAAAAACATGCATACTTTCAAACAAGTCATATTAATGTTTTTGGAAACACAATGGACATTGTTGGATGTGGATCTTCAATGCAACTAATAGCATGTTTGAAAAACAGTAGAGAAAGAAGAAATCATGATTGGGTCATGAAGGCTATAACTAATAGTTTCTTAAAATCACATCCAAGACATAGAAAAGTACATCCAAAATGTGAAACTAAACACGCTATGGTAGTTGTTTTTGCAATGTCTTTGACATGATTTTGCACTAAATGTCAATCTCGAATGGAAAACCAAACATGCTCTAGTGAACATTTCATTACATAAGAAAACTATACATCACAAATTCAGCTAGTAACTAAGGGTTCGTTTTCTATTTTTGGAAACTGTTTTCTGATTTCAAAAACATAAAAAACGCATTTGATAAAAGTAGTTTTTGAAAATTATTTTTAAAACTAATATCTTTTGTCAATTTTTAAAATAAAAAACTATAACATCTTAAAATTGTTTCAGTTTTCTACTCTCAGTTTTCTGTTATTCAAATTCTTCCTTACACTATCTTATCTTCTTCCCTCATTCCTACTATCTAAAATTTAGTTTCTGAAAGCTGTTTTATAAAATAGATTTTAACAACTTGAAAACAAAAACACTATTAAACACCCTAAATACTGTCAAAAACCAAACAGCTTTGCCATTACCATTATTCACTCAAGTACATTTTTAATTACCAGTAGTGAATTATAACTTACCTTCTTCCACATTTCCTGAGCCTACATCTCATCAATCACATAAAAAAAAAACATTCACAGCCTTCAACATCTTAAGTTGATACAAAAAAACATTATTCAAAATGCACATCTCTGCTAAAGCCAACTTGCAGAACAAATATTACCCATAAACCAAGGATGAGCAAACCTTACATATATACTAGCCTCACATTGATCAAGCACAGGAACTGAAGCAAAGTAGCAATCTGTAAGATTTTTCTTGCATCCTTGCCGGTAGCCAAATTGGTAAAGTACAGGTCCCACACTCCAAAGCAAACGACCATGCCGCTGATATGCAAAGAGTCCTCGATTCTTGACATTGATGTAAACATTTGAGCCTAATGTGCTCACTGAGAGCCCAATAATTTCAGCTTCTGCAGGTTTACCTGGTCCTGGACCAAAGAAAACTTCTGCTTCAGGCTCCATGCTTCCATATTTAATCACCAATATTCTGTTATCAGCTACCAAGTATACCTGCAATTGCCTCACAAAAATTAGTAACCTACACCGCCACACTACAAACAAAAGTCTTCCCCTTTTTTAATCATGTTTGAAGGGTTACATGAATCAAATGACACCCTTTATATAACCTATTCTATTGACTATATATATATATACCTTGACTAGACATGTGACAGTTTCACATCATTTTTACCTGAGAAAATATACATACATCGACAAAGTAAAGGTTTTTTATACTGATATCCAATCACAAATTGTTATATACGGTAAATTGTTTGACATTTATAATAACACCTTAAAAGTGATATATCTATCATGATCTATCATTTTTCATTGGTTGACACCGTCTAGAAAATATTATTGTTTTATTTATTTCTTGCCCATTTCTTCACACTTTTATGTTGATTTCCCATACATTTTAGCATAAAGATTCATGTCACTCAAGACTCGCGAGTGCATTGGTTAACTATGGCAAAAAAACATGCTTGTGTAAAAGTTATTTAGATCAAGGGATACCCAACTGGGCACTAGTGCAGAAAGCAAGAAAGTTCTCAATTTCCCAACATTTATATATGAAAAGAATGGTGAAAGTGGATTGAAAACAACGTCACAAACATGAAAGTGAAATTCAAAAACACTAAATTTAAATCACCTTCCCATGGCCACCATGAAGTGGGGCAGTACCAAGGTTGCATTTGTAGTCTAAATGCATGGTCCATGCAATGGTACCGTTGTTTTCAAACGCAAAAAAGTTGTTACCAGAACAAACATAGACCCTTCCATCATCTCCAACAAGAGGTTTGGAAAACCAGTGATATGCAGAGACAGAAGAAGAAAAAGAGAACATAGCAACCAACAACACGACAAGCAAGTGGGTCATTGCGCATTGCAGAAACATGCATGTGTTGTCACAGTTAAGGCAGACTTGAAGACAGTTACCATTTTCAGGAAAATCATTGACCAATGGACAGTTAATACATGTCTTCGCGGATTGAGAAAGAGAACTGTTCTTGTTCACGGGAAAAAATAAACGCGAGATGAACCGTTATTGCAGGTTGTCATATTTTTTATTATTAACTAGCGGTTTCGTCTATTGATATAAATAATTGTATCTCAATATATATTCATTATAATTACATTTTTGTATCTATTAATTTTTTGAAATTTTTAAAAGAAAATAAATTTTTAAAATAATAAATCAACATAACTTCAATTTAATTTTTAAAAAAATTGACTAAACTTATTTTATTTAAAATAATTTTGTAAACATAAATTTATTAAAATATAATAGACTAAATGTAAGATAGACTTTAATTAATAATAGACTAAATGTAAGACAAACTTTTAATTTCACTCTTATATGGTGATTATATTATTTGGGTAACATAAATCAAGTTTTATGCTTCATGTTTTAATTGTAATATTTTTTTATGTATAAGATTTTATTGAAATAAGATTAAATATTTATGAATATATTTAGATTTTTAAATATATTAAAATAAGTTTTAAAATAAAATTTTAAAATTTTAAAGACTATACTAATACTAAAAGATTCTAATAGATTCTAATAGATAAAGGGAATTATTCTTCCTGTGACTATTTTTCGTCTTCACAATTGTACACAATTATATCCTTAATTTTTAAAAATAAATAAATAAATAATTTTAGTAACTATCATTAACCAACTCTAAATAATCGCTCATACTATTATATTTTTTTTTATTTTACTTTTAAAAATATTTAAAGGTAGGAAGTGTCTCTTTCTCCTAGTATCAATAATATATATTCACTCCTAGTTTGCAATTATATTTTTATATCGATTAATTTTTTTAAAATTTTTAAAAGAAAATAAATTTTTAAAATAATAAATGAACATAATTTTAATTTAATTTTAAAAAAAATTGACTAAACTTATTTTTTTTTACTTTATTGAAAAATAATAGACTAAATTTAAGATAGACGTTTAATTTCACTCTAACATGGTGATTATATTATTTGAGTAAAATAAATCAAGTTCTATGTTTCATGTTTTAATTATAATATTTTTATGTATAAGATTTACTGAAATAAGATTAAATGTTTATAAATATATTTAAAATTTTAAATATATTAAAAATAAGTTTTAAAATAAATTTTTAAAATTTTAAAGAAAATGAAATCCAAAATCCGTCATATCTTAAATTTGGATTTTTAAAAAAAATAAGTAAACTTAATTTCATTAAAAAAAACTAAACTTGAGAAACACATTTATTTTATTATTTAATTAACACAAATGCAGTTTTCAATTTAAGATAATATTAAAAAATAGTAAACATAATTGAATTAAAAAAAAAAAACTTTTTGAAAATTTTAAAATATTTTTTTAAAATCTTTTTAGAATTTAATATTGTGTAGTATCCACTTCAATTTGTATAACTGTGAACTCTTGCCATGATCATTTTTTTTTTTTTTTAAGAAAAAACTTACAACAATGAAAAAGAATCTTCTGAAAAGGTTGCCAAACTTGCATATAGTAGAAATAATGCAATTAAGGGGAAAATTGAGAGATTGAAGTATTCATTGAACATGTGGAAAAGATGGGTGAAGTCCTTGTTAATGATGTAGTGTGATGTGTGTATATATATAGTTATAATGATCGTATTGTATGACACTTGTGAATTCAATTATAGTTGTTTTTGTTTATCTTGTCATTCACATTATATGTTATACATTATTATTTCAGTGAGATGATAAAATGTGTCTTAGAAAGGACGATAGACATATATTATAGCATTAACTAAAGTTGAGTTGAATTGAATGATCTATGATACATGGAAGGAACTAAGTTAATATAACTTGCAATTGTCATGATTCAATCATTTTAATTTAATTAAGGATGTTGACTTGTAAATTTAATATATAGTGTGCTCTTATAGTTTAGTGTTAAATCTTCAAGTCATCACATGAGTTAAGTGGGAGAATGTTAGATTATTTAATCTAATTTTGACTCATATATTTAAGGAATGACTTTAATGAAAAGATGTTTTATATAATAGTTGTTAAACTTAAAATATATTAAGAGTCATTGGAAATTATTTTTAAATTATTAAAATTAGTTCCCTCCGTTCTCGCCTCGTTAAAAGGTAATTTTGACATTAAAGAAAAAGAATTTGAAAAACGAAAGTTAAATGAACTTACGAAAGTTAAGATAGTTTTATTAACTAGCATAACTTCTTTTTTTGTCTCTCTCTCAAGAAATCCGTTTACCCTTCTTCACAAAAATTGTTTTCATAGAAAAAATTGTAAAAACTTAGAAAATTGTTAAGAATCAATTAAAGAGGTTTCAATAGCATTATAGAAAACAATTAAAGGAAATAAGAGAAAGGAAAACAACTTATTAGAAAATTCGAAATTGCATTACCTAAGATCCTTTGAATGGTATCCTATGAAATATTTTACTAACAAGATGACTAACTAGAAAAGGGTGTGTGAAAGGAAGCAGGATTGGTGAATGCTTGGAAAAAAGAATTTGAATCTTGCCTAGGATTTGTAAAATCGAGAAATTAAAAAATAAAAAATATTAATGATATTTTAGAGGGAGAAAAAAGTATAATGAAAATGTAATATTAATATAGAGATGTATATATAATGAGCCAAACTATACACATGAAATGCACAAATTGTAATAGTGGCTTAATAAGTATTAATTTAATAAAATATTTTTTATCTAAACTTTTTATTTAAAATAAGAAATTTTCTTTTTTAAATTTAAACAAGGGCGCTCATAGTTTGTAATTTTTTTTTATTTAAGATTGATGAAATATTCCCTAATTTATAATGAGTTCGTCATAGTTGAGATTAGCTTGCTTCTCCGCAATCCACGCACCAGGGGTTCCATGAGTTCCTACTAATTATGCTTCAAAAATGAGATTCTAGAGTGAACTACTTGTAGAAAGTGAAGAACTAGAGAAATAATTTCAGTGGAGAGGGCGTAGGATAATAGTGTGTACATTAGATTAATCTAATGACTATTCAAAAATGGGACTTAACATTCCCCACAAGATCACAAACTGCCTTCCTATTTGTCAAATCAATAATTAGCAAACACCAACACTAAAAATATTTGGGATTGAAGACACTAAACTTTGTCATTGTACAGAGAAAATGGTTCACACGCCAACAAAATAAAAGATTTGTATCCTATCTTCTAATCATAAATTAACATGAAAATTTTGTTAATCTTTATAATTACCTTCAAAGTCATACCATATTTTTTTATGTACAAAATACTATCACTCCCTGATGTTCTTGAGATTGCACACTATTTTCATGCTTTCTTAACATTTACTGCTCCGTACCACCTTGTAAGGAGGTGTATCATATTTTTCAAATAATTAAAGAGGCTCGTGTAATGTATAAGAAATATCCGTGTATATTTTTCAAACAACCAAGAGAACTTGTATAATAAAAAGAAATGAGTATTGAGAGAATTTTGATGAAGCCTCATTAAGTGTAGGTGTAATAGAGACATTTAAAGAAAAAATAATAATGTATTGAAAAATACATCTTTCCCAAATGAACATATTCTATTGCAAATATTTTAACGGGCTAAACATTCATTCTACAAGCAAGTCAATGTAAGGAGTAGGCTATAAACTAAAATCAAATTAAGGAGTACAAATAAAACTATACCACAAAAATGGTTAAATCTGCCAGCTTTGCTAGAACTCTGGATAACCCTAGTCCCTAAAAGGGTAATGGTGAACAATCTCAATGTAAGAATGACAGAAATGTATCTTCAGAACCAACCAATATGATTGATCCTGTTGACGCCAACCTCACCTCCAACTGCGGTAGTACCGGTCTTCTGACCAGTCCCGAAACCGAGATGAAAAATCACGGTCTCTGTCATACGGGCTGTCAGAAGTCCAGTTCCCTAGTCTACCATAATCTTGGTCCGATGGCGAAAAAAGCCTCTCTGAAGGACTTGAATAATGAAGAGAATGGAAAGAAAAAGGTCTTGGGGATTCTTCATCATGCACTGGGCTTCTCCCATATGGGGACCTTGCAAGAGTAGGACTTCTTGGTGGTACAAAATCATGGCTACCAAACCTAGGATGAAAACTAAACCTTGATGAACTATGTCCTGGGTCCCCTGGTGGATCATCATCCCTAAGATCAGCTAATCTTGGTTCGCGAGGATATCCTCGACTGTCATAATCATTATTATAATTTGACCTGTGCTGCGATGATGACAAGTTTCTTGAAATATCTGAACTTGAGGGTCCAGCCCTAGTGCCCCACAATCTCTCATTAGCATTTTCTGGAATTGGAGCATTTATTCCTGGAAATTTAACAGTCATTTTCCGCTTTGGTTTTGAAGAATCAGCTTCCATAATTTCCCCATCCTCTTGATCTGCAATCTCCTTATCGGTGTATATTGTAATGCCTGAAGGCTGATCCTCATCATCCACATCTAAATACCAAACATAGATCATGAAGATAACTAATTTAATACAAAGACTAAGAAAAAATGGAAAGGAAAGGAGAATAACGAATACAGTAAATAGCATCACAAATGATGAACTTAAAAACACTAAATAACAGTACGAGTTCATTAATTTAGAATGACACTTGTGTTACAACCTCAGCAGATTTCTCAAACCTGTCTAGTATCTTATAGCATTATATTTAAATTATAAATTATTGTGAAAGAAAAGGAGATTGAGGTGAAAGAAATGCATTTTACCAAGATATCCAGGTGGGTATCCTATTTCTCGCATTCTGTTAAGCCACGGAGGTGGATCAAGCTCCTGCATAACACAAAACCTTATTATTTCATAAAAACTGAAAATCCTGCCGAATCTGAAAATTCTTCATTGTATGGCTTAGTTGCAGAAAAGTGCAATCGTCAAACTACTTGGTACTTGACACAATACAACCTATTATGCCAACCTGCCACTTTGGTTATGAATTTAATATCTTAGAAACCATCAGTTGAACACGCAAATTATCATTTATTACACCTAATACATTCGAAGCATATGTTTATTCCAATATTTTTCTTTCACACTTAGCCACTTATCAATTTAGATATTGAGTAACATGATCTTGTTCGATAGATATAAGATTGTCTACATAGCCATACAGATGACCATCATGCATAAATATTTTAGGTAAGTCTTGAGGGTTAAAAGAAGGGTTTCTTGTGAATCTAAAACAGAGTCTGTTTGGATAAACTTCTGCAGAATTCCTATGATAGAAAAATAGGGGGAAAAAATGCAATAAGTTTTTCCATGGGTTAAAATTAGTTTATGCATAAACTAATTTGTTGAAGCTCTCCCTTAATAACTTCTCCAAAATCTTTTTTTTTTTTAATTCATACATACGCTAGTTTTATGCTTGTGGAGAAGCTTATTTCAATTATCTTCCTATTTTTCTCTTTTAGAAGTGTTTTTAGAGAAGTTTATCCAAATAAGCCCAAAGTGTACAAGTGCCATTTGATTGTCAAGTTCTCTACTATAGAGGGTTTAGGTTCTGTATGGTGAAGCACTTATTCATGAGTATCAAATATCTCGACTCATAAGCCAATTACTAAAAGCTTTTGAAACACAAAATTATATAAATAAATAATATATATATATATATATATACACATAAAAAAATCAGAGATAAAAAACAAAATTCAAACTAATTCAAATTAATAAGTTTATAAATTTATAAAAATATTAAATAATAATACATAATTTAGTTAATAACATCATAGAGAAAATAAATTGCTTAGTAATTTTATAAATATCTTAGTGTGAGCTAATTTCATAAAACTACACAAAATTCAGTTTGGACTAAATTGGAATCGTTTTTTTGGACATCTGCAGGTTGTGTACATGCTTCTCTCTAGTGTTCTGCACGCTGTTGGGAATGGCTATGTCCAATATGCCGTAACACTGAACAACATTGCTGCATTGTTGATTTCTTTTGGAGATGATTATAATTTGGTTTTTCCTACTCTGGACTTTGGAAGATATCCTATCTATCCTTAGTTAAAGTTTCCTCACATCTTTTTAATAAAACTTATTTCTTGGTACAAAAAGTAAAGACCTCAAGGTTGGAAATGTATTTTAATAATAACACCAAACAGCATTTTAATATTTAACTTACCCCCAAGCCCAAAAGTTGACGTGTTACATTATCCAGAGCACCTGGCCTCAAACCATCATACTTTCCAGCGGGAGAATTCTGATAATAACGAGTTGGATTCCGGGAAGAAGAATTCTGGTTCCGTCGGGACATGTGCTTCTTGCGGGCATTATTGACAGCAACGTTGTCACGAGGCCTTGTACACTCTCTCAAAGAGTGGTTGTAAGAACCACAATTGAAACACCGAGCAGCATCATCAATAATCTCCAGACCACTAAAATATTTTAAAAGAAAAAAATCAAAGGCACTAATGAACAGAACACTGAAATAAATAGTTAAACATTTTATGAAGAATTATTAACATACCACAGAACACAATATGCATGCAAAACAAATGTTACCTCAAGATGTTGAAAAAAGTAATACATATCAGAAATCAAAACAATCTAGAAAGATCTATGAAATTCAATTCCACCATAACAAATCCAGAGAAGTTCTTATAATCCCAAGCTTGGAGCTTGTAATTAATGAAAACATTTTTATCCCCTTTTTAACCTTAGCTTAAAGCCAGAACTTCTTTCAACATGAAAGAAAAACAGCTCTTTAAAATGGTAGATACAAGCCACAGCATTACAAAGATACAAAGTGAAAGATACCAAAACAAATGAGTGAACAGGACAATGAATAAGCATAGGATAAAGTGTTTCACCATTGTGTTTATGTAAAAAAAATTCTAACTACCTTCCTTGCTCTTACAATATCATTGTTCTACAATTATAATTGTTAAGTGCTATTATCTAACTTCTATATCTCAATCTTTAAAAGCAACATAATAAGAATACAGTTCCCATTAAGAAAACTTAAGCAAACTTCTCAATATCACAAAACAGAAAGTAGAGCAACAAAAAAAAAAGCAGGAGATACTAATTTTATCAATTGTTTGCAGGACCAAAAACTCAAATTTCGCATAAAAAAAATGGATACTTTTGCAAAGAGTTGAAATAAGATTTACTTTTGAAATTCTTCCAACCACTTTAAAAATTTAATAAAGTAGACAGCCTAACCTGTCAAAGGCATTATAATCAAATATATGGTGTACTTCAATGCTTATTCTACTTAAAGTAGAAAATTTAAATAAGAATCTAAACTCTAAAGGAGAATTGTAGGAATTGTGTGTGTTGATCCACACATATCATACTTTAATAATGAATGACAATCAAGGAAATCACGAAAGAAAGACCAGAAAAAGATCCGTAATCCCTTATTTTTAATTTTTTAGCTTTACATATTTTTCATCTCTTTAACAGAATCAATTTTAGCAGCACTGGATTTAAGTCATGATTATTGAAATACCAAATTCTGTAGCCATTATGAACAAAGATTTTTAAGTGCAGTGCAACAACACGATATTGGACAACCAAGAAACAAGTCAGCATACTAATTGTGATAATAAAAAGATAGACACTTCTAATCATACTTCTTCATAATACTATACTTCAAACAATGTACAATCGCATGAACCATCTGCAAATGGTAAGCTAAGTGCACTAACAGTTTCATCGTTAAATAATACAAAGTAATAGTGTATACCCATCCAAATTACTTGAACCATCAGCTGAAGTCAATCCCAAAGCATATCCACGATCATATAGAGGCACAGAATTATCAGCTAAAGGAATGAAATCTTTGTTCTTATCATTTCTTGTTTGGTTCTCCATCCAGAATGACTGAAATTTAAGGAAATAGAAAGAAAAAAATATTTGTTATTGCAAAAATAATCTTTCCCTTTTCATGTTGCGAGATAAATAACCTCAAAAATGAAACAACAATTGCACATATTAGCTAATATAATATTGTGCTGCACATATTAACTAATATAATATTGTGCTGCACATATTAACTATGACTCAGAAAGGCTTCTCACAACCACAACCACCCTAGTCTTCTTACAATGCAGCAATTATAAATTATAAATAAAGGCACATGGAAAAAGGCAGCATGTATGCCAAATAAAAAATGGATATAGATAAAAATGATGTAGCAAATCTCACACTTGAAGAGTTAAAAACAAACAAAAATGATCACAGACAAAGCAATTATTACAAAATGCAGTGAATGCAGACTTCACACTGCAGTAAATTTTGTAACCTTAGACCTATTACCACAACCATCTGCACATATTTGCTTTTGAGGATCACAACTAAAACCTTTATTCTGGGACTAACTAGATTAAGACCATGACTGAAATTGAAGAAACCAAGATCAATCCCAGTAGTAATCCTAACCCTTAATACTAGTGATTAAGAAAAGTTTCCTAGCAGTGGAATTGAAAGTTTCACAACCTGCAGTTTTTCATGTTCTCATAACAGACTTGGGAAACTCACCACAGCAGATGTCTTCTCAAGTCCAACATGCACAGCAGGAAAAAATGTCTCCTCACCAGATTCCAACACTTTGCTAGCATCCTGAAAAGAAAGACATTGTCAGTGTTTATCATTCTTTAGAAAACTACAAAAGCAAAACTGCATTTGTTAATGGCACAATTGCCAGCAATTTCCTTGCAGATATACCAAACGTCAAAGAATCCTTTAACTGGATGTTCACTATATCACCTGAGTTGTCTATAGGTCATTTGGTACAATATTTTGTCAAACCTAATTCTAAATCCAATTCAATTATAAACAATTTTGTTCTGTCCCATATGAAGAAATCATATCCAAACTTAAAAATTTGTCAGATAGCGACACTTTAACAAGGCCTTTTATATCTCAAGACAGATATTCAAAACGCATCATCAATGTCAAAATTATTTATTCATCAAAAACAAAAGTCAATCTTAGTTTGAAATTGAAAGCACTTTCACCTTAATAATTCTATGATTTTTAAGAGAAGAGTAAAACATGTATTTGCATTTTGGATCTTAGACAATCATTGGTCATTATTGGGATTACAGCTCAACAATGAAAAATGGGCAGACAGACTCCAACATCATATCAAATCCTTACCTTCATATTTCCATTCACTTTTTATGTTTTCTTTTCATGATATTTTATTCTCAATCATCTATTTACTTCTTTATTTACTATTAATGGAAATCTTCTTTCACTATCAAAACAAAAATGGCCTTACATTGGATGATGAAACATGTTTAGCATGCCATTCAGACCATTGCTGAAGAAGTTCCTGAAGCTTGTGTCTACTAGCTCTGGAAAGTGTTCAAACATAAGTCAAAAATTACAATCAGTGAAACTGAACTGCATGATAGCTTTTAATTTTAATATCAAAATAATAACAAATACAGCTATTTCTTTAGTTTGCACACATAGATAAATGCCCCATCATGGTTTTGAACTTTAGAATAATTTGTCTGACCAACTTGTAGATACCTTGATAGGGAATTATACGTGAAATGAACTGAGGGTTGGTTTTCATCAACAGTAATCCGGGCTCTTTTAGCACCTGATACAGCTAGCATGTCTTATTAAGGAAACACGATATTAGGGATTGCATAATAACTGGATATACAACTGATCCAAAGTATTTGTCAGTGTCAATGATATAAACATATTGATGTATAATAACTACAAAGAACATTGACTGTATAGAACTAATCCAAGCAAGTAATATCAAATCATTAACCAATAGATATATCAGATTTTAAAAATTAAGATGCAAAAACATTACACACCTTTTTTTAAAGGGGGTATAAAACTAATAAAAGTCTAGGCTTTATTGCACTTTTGGCCACTTTATTTTGCTTACTAGAGCAATTTAGTCCATTTGTTTTCAATCAGAGCTTTTACATAAGACCACATCACAGATGGAAGATATTTTACTAAGATCCATTGTTCTATACCAGTGTAATGAATCCCGCATATCAGCCGAATCCAAAACAATACCGAGGTAGTGGATAGTGTGACAGCTGCTATTCTAAATTTTTTTTATATTATTTAGTTTATAGTTTATTATACTATATGCTACATTTTAAATTCATAAAAACAACCAAACTGGATACAATGGGGCCCAACAAACCAAAACAAAAAAAGAGAAGGTAAAACACAAAAACGTTGTGGCACATGGCCCAATTCCCCTTAAAACCTAACTCCCCAAGACCCCTTCAGCAGCTAGCTAAGTGCCGCCACCCATTCCAAATAAAAAGGCAGAGATGCAGTGGTAAGACAGAGATTACAGATTATTCCAGTGACGGCGCTGCGTGTCACAGACTTCCATTCGCAGCTTGCATAGAGAAGGACAAGATATGCAGTCAAACAGATAGGGCAAAGAGAGGGAGAACACGATTCAGGGACATGTCTGCGGCACCAACACACTGATTTACACCTTTCCAGCCATGAAACTGAAACCCTCCGCAACAGCCATCCGTGTAGCAGCCAGAGGCAGATCCACACCGTGACAGCGCAATTGCGCCATTTTCGCGCACTATTAACTACACTTTTCTAAACCAATTTAAACCAATCATGGCACAGAAATTAGCAAAGACCACCATATCACACGGCCAGGAGGAATAGAAATTCACCAGTCTAGCTAACTTAACTACTCATATATTCACAATTTAGATAACTCCTGTTGCAAAAAAACTCACAAGCACATAATACACAATCAATGAAAGCTCTAATCTACTAATCAAAGTAAATTTCACACATAGGATTTCAAGTTTCCACCGCAGTGTTGCCAAGCAGCAAACTAGAAAAGCCTCAAAAGGGGGCACATAAGGATACATCTTTCATCAATCTCAATGCTTCTTTTGGGACTCCCTTCCTCAAGAGAGAGAAAACCATTCTCAGCAAGAACCCTGCCACTCACTTCCTCAGTGACCACACTCAACTTCAAACATTCTTCCAAACACTTTTCATCTTCCAATTTCTTCTCCTCATCCAAAGATTCACTTCCCAAGTTCGGGTCTCTGCTGCTCTCAGAGGGAATCTCGCCCATGGGCTCGTCACCAGCCATATCCAAACAAACCCTTTTCTCTTCTATGGAAAAAGATTAAAATTTTATCAAAATAAACACACTGAAGACACCTCTATCTGTGTGCAGTGAGTGTAGTGCGAGTAGAAGAAACAGCATAAATAAATTGAGAATTGGGAAGAGAAACGTACCCTAAGAGGAACGAAGAGAGGTTACGGCGAACGACGTCGTACGGCGTGGCGGAGAAATTGCAGCAGAGAGAGGTGGAACCCTAGAGAGTAGAGAGTAGGTTCCGGGAAGAATTGAATTTGGGGGAAAGATCCCAACAAAATAAGGAACACTACCCTATGCTAAAACTAAAACGACGTTTTTGGTTTTTAATACATTTGGTATTTGTCAAAAACTATACTAAGAAAAAAAAATCATTTAGTTGTCTTTTCAATTTGGATTTTGCTTTTTTTTACAATAGATTTCAATCATTTCATATAATTAGGAATACTTTTAATACTAGATTTGTAAATTACACATGAAGAAAGATTTTAATTAATTATATTCATTATATTTACATTTCTTAATTTGTTATATGAATACTTTGAATGACACTTCAAGTAATATTGAAAAATAATTTATTATATAACTTTTTAATAAAAAAAAGTTTTTTTTATAGTTTATTCATTGGAATAACAATAGACTCAATTTATATAATATTCATATTTAAAAATAATATTCGTATCTAACTCTATGCATGCACGAATAATAACATCAATCATCTTCATTTATATCAAATAATTAAATATATATTTAATAAAAAATATAAATAGGAATAACTCATTTTTGTAATTTACATTTTTTTTATATTTTGAACATTTATAATTTAAGATATATTAATTTGATATTTTTAACTTGAGAGATTAACCTTTATTATCATTAATGAACATTTTATATTTTTATTAAAATTTAAATTTAAATATTATATTATATTTAGTTCAGACTTTTATGTATATTAACCTATAAATAAATTTATTTTAATTTTTAATATTATTAAATCATGATATTATATATTTTTATTTCTTTTATATTAATAACAATTATTATTATTTTATTAATATTGATTTAATTACAATTCAATCATTAAACTTTTGAGTGACTAATCCAAAATATTACATAATATTAAAAATAAAGAAATATAACATTAGTTAAATCTATGACATATACAAGAAAAAGTCTTACTACTAATCACTTTTTTATTATTATTATTATTATTATTATTATTATTATTATTTATATATATATATATATATATATATATATATATATTTTTGAGTACATTTCATTTAAGCCAGAGAAAATTATATTATTATGCTTTGCATAGATTGACGAGGAAAAAAAATACACAAAAATGATGATATTATGTCAAGTATTTTATAATACAATGTTAAATGTAGGGGTGACAAAACAGGCTAGCCTAGCCCGTTTTGGTCCGGCCTGTCAATGGCCCATTAAAAACAGGTTGGGCTGGGCCAGCTCGCCAATGAAAAATAGGTTGGAAACGCTGGCCCGTCTCGCCTAAGGACAGGCTGGCGGGTCAGCGTGCCAGCTTGCATACCACAAAAAAATTGCAAAAAAATGGGGAAAAATATATTTTTTATGTTCAAATAAAAAAAATTGTTACAAATAAATAAATATAATCATATGAAATTAAAAATGCATACATATTGTATATAATATATGTTCAACAAAAACAAATTACAAACTTAGAACAAAATCAAATAGAAATTAGTCTACTTACACCAAAATTAAAATCAAATTATAAACTTACAAATTATTAATAATCTAAATTTTTTGATAGTTCACAAAACAAGTCCATTACTTATGAAAGCAACTGAAGCCCAATTACTTATGCGGGTTGGCGGGTTGTGACGAGTTAGCCCGCCATTTGGCCCAACAGGTTGGCGGGTTTGGCGGGTTAAAATAATAGGCTCAGCCCGCCAAAAATTGGTGGGCCAACGAGCTACCTGCAAGTCACAGCTCATTTCACCATCCGTAGTTAAATGTTCTCCCTCGACCAACCGATGTAGGAGACTATGATGATGTACTCTTTTAAACAAATTTTTTTTACTTAATATAGTATATTTATATAAACATAATATATATATATATAAATAAAGATTGTGATGTATGGCTATTTTTTAAAATAATAAAATTTGATATGTTTAATTTTCAATATATTACCTTTCTTTGCGTTTATAAATTTTAAATTAAATTAAGATGTATTTTGCTAATCATATTTTTGTAGGAAAAAAAAAACTTTCAGCTATCAAAAGTTCAGATATTAGATTTTTTTTTTACTTTTTTAAAATAAGTAATTAATTTAGTTGATGAAATTATTTAAAGATAAATTGTATAATATTTATTACATTTCATTTTGTTTTAGAGATATTTGAATTTTTAAAAATTAAAATATTCAGTTAATTATTTGAAAACTATATAAATAATAAGGTGTATCACATTTTACTTCCATTTTTATATTCTTGTTCAATACTTTTTTTCATGAACTTTGGAATAAAATTGTTAAATATTATTTTATTGTAATAATGTTACGTTTTTTCTGTTAAGGTTTGTAACAATATTACTGTAATACTCCAGATTTTTCTAAATGTTTAATAATATTTTTTAATAATTAGACTATTTATATTTATAATATGAGTATTTTTATTAAATGGAAAATATGGTTTAAAATTAATTATCTGTGTTATTTAAATATTGTGTGAGAAGGAAAGTATAATATTGATTTATTTGACTAACTAAAGGGTTAAAAGTGAGTTGAAAAGTTTATAAAGGGTTACATTAATTTTTACATCTTACGTTTCTCATTATTTCTCTTACGTTTCCATGCTATGAAGAATTAAGAGAATTAAAGATCGTTGAAAAGTAAAACAAAGATCCTCACCCTATGTCTAGCATTCATTAAGGTAAAGAGAGGAGTGAGTAGTCTTGTTTTGGGCATGGAACGTATGTTGGGTAATGGAATTGACCCCAATCTCCTTCTCTGTACATATGTTGTATTGGGGGGCAATCCCAAATTTTGATCATATCTTATGTTTTTGTACAATATGTGATTCTTTGGTATTATAATTGATGTCACTATTACAGACGAGACATTTCATAATGAGTGTTTTAGACATTCTATGTTAGCTCAAGACACAATATACAATGTCCGCACATTTTGTGATGGGTCAACACACAACTTATATAAAAAGTTCACATTCTATGTTAAATGGTCAACGACTGCCATAGTAGGGGTTACAAAATTTGGTGATTTGATTCATTGGCACCATATTCTATGGCAGGTGTGGCATTGTCCGTCATAGAATGTTCACATTCTATGAAAGGTAACATCAAATCCGCCATATAATGTGATTTTTTTTAATATCTTGTTTGTATTATGAATTCTTTAAAACCTACACAACAAAAATGAATTCTAGCACATTCCAAGCAATTCAAATTAGCATATTACTATCCAGTTCTATACTAAACTATATAATATACAATATATGTAATACCCTGTTTTTCATAAAATATAATATAAATGATTTATTAATAATTATGATATTTTTATGTTATTAATAAGGACTGTTAAATATTTATTTTAATTATGTAATATATTATATAATATTTTATTAAAAAATAGTATAGTATTTTATTAAAAAGAGAAAGGATCTTTGGGATAATTGTGGTTATATGTTTTAACTAAAAGGTTAAAGGGAGGTTTGTTTTTTTTTTTCAAAAAAAAAAGGAGTCTTCTAATCAAACCTTTTTTACGTCTCTATTTTCACGTATGTGCTTTAGAACTCGAATAATAAGAGTAGGAAGGAAATTACTCTAGAGTTGTGCACCCGTCATCTAAAGCTTATCCAAGTAAGGGGGAGTGAGAAACCTCACTTTAAGTGTGAGTTTGTATGTTAGGTACTGAGATTGACCCATAATCATGTATTTGTTGTATGCTCATGTAATAAGGGTTTTTCCCAATTGTTTCTATTTCACATTTTGTTTTTTTTTGCAAGTAATTAATGGTATGAATTGCTTGAATGGGTGATTGATTTTATGTATTGAGATTGTAATTGTATGATTTGAGATCTCTATGAATTTCTTAGTAAACCTTAAAGAAATGCATTAATGATTGTATGAGGAGATTGATTGGGTATGTAGTTATATGTGTAAATTGTGTCTTTTAGAAGTTTAACATAACCTATAGAGAGTTCTTACCAATTGGATTCAAAGAAAAGAGTTTAGGTGTGAATTATGTTAGATTTTGAAAATTATGGTATGAACATACCTTGATATTTATTTGATTTCTCTATGTGTGATTAATGAAATTGAGTTTTGATTGTTGGGTTAGAAAGTAGACATTTAAAGCTACAATTTAGACTCAAGAATCATATAAAAATGTTGAGGAATGGCCAAGTTATGTGAGTTAAAAGACGAAACTTATATTTTATGTGCGAAATATAACATGCATACATTGTAAGCTTTTTCGAGTACTTAAATGGAAAAATTAGGTTTTGTGACCTTCATAAAAGTTGTAACCTTGGATTTTAGCTTTTAAATTCCATTGGGTAACCTAAAAAGGAAGCCTAGAACTCAAGTTATGATCAAATTAGTGAGCAAAGGTTAGACTGTCAAATTTAATGTGAAATGTTATAATTTTTTATTATTTAAAATAGTAGATGGCATATTTAGCTCTTGAGTTCAACATAGAAGTTGAAGATAATTGTCTTAGCTTTCTAATAAAATTAAGATCAACTTAATACAATATATATAGCTCTAGCTAAGGTGTTTGGACCATGTGATATCATAAAAGATTATGAAAATGTAGTATGTGAGTGTGCTATTGATATGTTTGTGAGCTATGTATGAGGTGTAGTAATGTGATCCCTTATGCCATTGATTGCTAACATTTAATTGATATAGTTGAATTGTTACTTACTATATTGAGAATGGTTGATGACTTTATGATATAGGATTAGTTGATAATGATTAATGAGGTCATATGAAATGTTGTGCATAGAGTATGTTTGACATGCATTATGTGCATAAAATGAAAGAAATTCATAATGATAACTCAAATAATGAACAATATAAGATACAATATTATAGTATGTCTGAGTAAGGTTTAGAAATAATTGCGTACCCGAAATCAATAAAAGATTCATTCTTGTCGGTCCTGAACAACGTGAGAGAATACTGCTTTCTTCCTGGTAGGAGATGAAAAGGTAGAAGACAAAATGTATTTCATCATATAAATTGACTAATGGGGTATCAGTTCTATATCCTTACCAGTAGAGACTAGGGACCT